GACAAAATCTGATAAAATGTGCATGATCTATGCACTGAATAAAACATTAGTTATATACTCCTACCATTTAATCAATGACAATGTCATTTACTTAGGATCTACAATAACCCTAGAACTCTTAGCCAATATATTCTTAAAGACATTAGTAGTAGTAATAGTAGTAGTAGTAGTAGTAGTAGTAGTAGTAGTAGTAGTAATAGTAGTATTTATTCCTGTTTCAATAAAGAAAAAACAGAATTTTAAAAATAGAAAAATTTTCCTAAAGACATAGAGCCAGAAAACCTGCAGATCAAATATTACATGGGGCATACATACACTAAAAAGATTGTTATTTACCTGAAATTCAAATTTAACTCAGTGCCCTGAATTTTTATTTGCTAAATCTGGCAACACTATGTGTGGGTCAGATATGGCCTTATCCATTGGGACTCTACCCCTTGCATAGTACATTTTAAATATATAGAACTATACCTAGCTTTTAAGTTCCAAGACCCTGCATATTTTCTCTGGAAAATACCAACCCATTCTTCAAAACTCAGTTCAACTGGCTTCTACTAACCCAAGCATGGATGTATACTCACATATGTCCTTCCCACATATACACCTTGTACATACTTTATTTCTGCATATTCTACATTGACTTTATTATTGTGGTTATTACAGTAACTGGCAGAATCATTATGAATTAAGGTTGCATGTGTGAATTAACAAATAAGTGAACAATAAAGAAAATATAAATAATTATAAAGCATTGTTTGGAAAAATTGAAGATCTGAATATAAATGGAAAAATATATCATGTTCATACATCAGAAGACTCGATGTTCTTAAGATGACAGGTTCCCAAATTGATCTTTAAACTTGTAATCACAATCAAAATCTCAGCAACATTTTTTTGTATAAATTAGAAGATTGCTTTTATATTTATATAAAGTACAAAGGATTTTATATTTGTATAAAGTACAAAGGATCTAGCATAACCAATAAATCTAAAAAATAATACAATTGAAGAATTTACACTATATGGTTTCCTTATTTTAATGTTTACAGTAATAAATAATGGGAATTGGCTGGGTACAGTGGTGCACTCTATAATCCCAGCTGCTTGGAAGGCTGAGACAGGAGGATCACAAGTTCAAAGCCAGCCTCAGCAACAGCAAGGTGCTAAGAACTTCAGTGAGACCCTGTCTCTAAATAAAATACAAGCTAGTACTGGGGATGTGGCTCAGTGGTTGAATGCCCCTGAGTTCAGTCCCTGGTACCCAAAAGAAAAAAAAATAATGGGAATTCATACAAAAGTAGACAAATAGATCAGTGGAACAAAATGAAGAATATAGAAATATACAGAAGTTTATGCAGAAGATTATATAGGTATGCTGGCAAGAACAAATGATCTTTTTAATAAATAATGCTAGAACAACTTACATGTATATACAAAAAATCAGCATTGATCCATACGTATCATATACATCATTAACTCAAAGTAGATCATTGACTTAAATATACAGACCTAAAAATTTAAATTTCTACAGGAAAAAATAGGAGGAAACTTCATGATCTTGGGTTAAACAAACTTGGATCCAACACCAAAACATAATCCCCCCCAACAAAAAATGATAAATGGTACTTTATCAAAATTAAACTTCTGCTCCTCAAAAGATATCATTAAGAAAATAAAAAGTAAAAGTTAGGAAAAATGTGTGCAAAACATATATCAAAGAACTAGTATTCAGAATATATTAAGAATTGTTACAATTCAATAATAGCCTTCATTGTTTTTTGTTGTTGGTGGTGGTGGTGCTGGGATTGAACAAGAGATGCTCTACCACTGAGCTATATATCCTCAGTCTCTTTTATTTTTTATTTTCAGACAGATTCTTGCTAAATTGCTGAGGCTGGCCTCAAAACTAGGATCCTTTTGCCTTAGCCTCCCAAGTATCTACAGTCCAATATCTTAAATAGACAACATATTTGAATGCACTCTTCATATACAAAAAAAAGATATAAAAATGTGCTCTACCCATAAATAAAAATGTGGTCAAAATCATTCATCATTAAGACAATGCAAATTAAAGCCACAAAAATTACATGCATTAGAATGACTAACATTTAAAAAGACTGACAACAGGACTGGAGTTGTGGCTCAGTGGTAGAGCACTTGCCTCCCATGTATGAGGCCCTAGGTTTGATCCTCAGCACCACATATAAATAAACAAATAAAGTAAAGATTTTAAAAAAAAAGACTGAAACACACCAAGAGTTGAAAGGATGTAGAAAAACTAGAGATCTAAAACTGTGAGAATAACGCAGTCATACTGGAAAGCAATTTGACAGTTTTTTTTTTTTTTAAGTTAAATAAATAGGGCTGGGGTTGGGGCTCAGCAGTAGAGTGTTTGCCTAGCATATGTGAGGCCCTGGGTTTGATCCTCAGCACCACATAAAAATAAATAAATAAAATAAAGGTATTGTCCAACTACAACTAAAAAATAAGTATTTTTTTAAAAGTTAAATAAATACCTGTCATGTGACCTGGCCATGCTACAATTACTCAAAAGAAATGAAAACATGTTCAAACAAAAACTTGAATACAAATGGTCATAATAGCTTTCTTCATAATTGCTAATAACTAAAAACAACCCAAATATCCCAAATTGGGGTGTGTTCACAAAATGGAATACTACTCAAAAATAAAAGATAAGCTATTGCTACACAAAAGAATCATGGATTGATCTCAAAATAATTATACTGAGTAAAAAAAGACAAAAAGAGCACATACTATTTTATTTATATGTGAAACTATAGAAATGCAAACTAATACATAAAGACAGACAGATAGATAGATAGATAGATAGATAGATAGATAGATAGATAGATAGATAATAGATAGCCTCAGTATTGGAAGAGATGCAGTTAAGGGAAGGAGGAATTAGAAAGGATCAAGAAGAATCATTTAGAAGTAATGGAAAAGATAAATTCCTTATTTTAATTGTAGTGATGATTTCAAGAGTAAATATATTTGTCAAAACTAATCAAAGTTTACTTTAAATGCCTATAATCCATCAAAGCTGTCTTTAAAAGTTTCAGCTGTAAATATTATTTTTAAAAAAGGAGACTATTAATGACATTCGTTTCTAAGTGTCCTATTCGATTGATTTTACTGAATATTAATCTAAATGCAATTGCTTTCTAATATGGAAGATGCAAGTTTGTTGTTGTTCAAATTTGTTGCACCGACTAGCAAGTGATGCCAAATTCTCTATTAAGGAAAAACTGGGCAAATTATTAGGACAAATTGAACAGTAGATATATCCCTCCCTTCAAGTTTCAAATATTTGACTTTAAGGCTCTAATCCAAATTATCTCTTCAAAATCAAGACCTAGTTGAAATATTCATTTTCCCCAAATGAAAAACAAACAAAATATTGGGGTTTTTTATCACAACAGTAACAGTTATATAAACATTGTTTTAATCTTGATGTGCTAGGCCAATCATTTTAGTTTTATGAAGTCTCTTTTCAATGACTTCATTCCTACCATCTACATTTTAAAATCTATGATTCCAAGAATGACTTATTTTTCTTTCTGTTGGCTTCTTTTTCAATAGTATCTCTTGAATTTATAAAAACAAGAGCAAAACAACCACAAAGTATTACTAGTTCCTTAAGTGACTGGTCCTTTTCTCTTCACTATTAACCAGCAGCTGAGATATCTAAATATGATGATCTATTTAAAAATAATACAAAGTAAAAATCCAGATAGCATAAATCATTGTATTTCTAATTCACTTTCAGTTCCTTTATTCTCTTTGAAATTTCCCATTCCTGGTTATGTCCTATTTTACAAAATGTCAGGTCAATGAATCTCATTTGAAAAGGAAAAGGAAAAGGGATGGAGATAAAGCTTAGTGATACAGTGCTTGCTTAGCATGCATGAGGCCCTGAGTTTGATATGGTTCTATAAAAAAGAACAAAAAAGTAAAAGAAAAGCATATTGCTTATTAGTTTTTGATGGTCCCCAAATACAATGAAGAAATATAAATACACTAAAAAAAGAGCTGCTATACATTTTACCAATTTACAAACAAAAACATCAAATATATATAATATCTGATACTAAATTTCTATTTTATTTTATTAATGTGGTATGGAAAATAAGGACAAAGAAGAGAAAAATAATTTGATAATAGTAGCTCAGACAGAGGCTCATCTAACCTAGTGCCTGGAAGATAGCAAATGCTTACTAAACATTTGTTATAAAAATGAATGCATGCATGCCTGAACAAGCCTGATTTCATTATCATTTCATCATTTATCTCCACTTTAGCTTACTAACATTGCATCCATATTATGGCTTTTTATTGGCTGTTGAACAGTAAAAATCAGAGCATGGAAATCCTCCAAAGGACTAAGAGACATAGTAAAGTCAACTAAGCAATGTTAGGAAATGTAAGAAAGAGAGTGAATTCACATGACCAAAGGCATAAGTTCAAGGCTCATACTGTTTTAAAAAAAATAAAATAAAATCCAAGTTATCATGCTTTAGGGACCATGAGAAGTGCTACCATTTCAGACATAAAATTTTTTGTATGTCATAACTAGACAGCAATCTGTGGAATGTCTAAACTACAAAATAAATTGATTATATTTTCATCAATATGGAGGCAGGTGAGTGTACCTTGGCAAATATAATCTGTGAGTGTATTTAGGTAAATTATTGTAAAGGAGAGAAGCAAAATTAATTCCTCCAGCAATACAAACCAGTATCCTTGAAGTGCTTAAAAGATTTAAAACTTTTCATATTTCAGAGTGACGTAAATTTCCCTCTGAAATCATATTACTACTATATTCTTAGCAAGTTCTTTGCTCATAGCAAATAGATAATATTTGGCTCAGTTTCGTCTAAATTATCACAAGTTTTGACTTACGATGTGATACTAATCAATGTAATGGAATAATGTTTGAATTTCTTTATGGGAGCCCAAGGATTAGGATGTTTTCTTACCTCGAACTCTAAAATACTTCACATGGTTTGCCACAGCCTCTGTCACACTTTCATTTGGGCAGATTTTTACTCCATTAGGAAACAAAATAGATCGCCGCCTTCTAAGGAACCAAGGTCTTTCAGCTTCTCTGTGGTCCAGAAGCTGCTGCTTCTCAGTAGGTAGAGAACGTTCTGTAGATTCTTTGGGCAGGAGAAAAGAAACTGCACTCTTGGTTTCTTGGATCTCTTCAAAAACCAAGTAGGTTTGTACTATAGAGTGAAAGCACAATCAAGGCGTTTGATGAGGCATAAGATAGGGCACAAAAGGCAACTAAAAACAAAACTGACACTTGTGCCACATTTGGATTTTGAAATTGATACTCTGATTATAGACAGACTTGCATGTCTAAGAAGGAAAGGAGTGAAGTTTTCAATATTTTCCATTTAATTTCTACTCCTTTACTCTAAGATTGTTATTGAAATCAAGGATATATCCAATTTCAACACAAGAAATAAGGGGAAGTGGGACTTGAGCCAGGAATTAGTAATCAAGAGGAAGACTCAAGTTACTGCAGATATTTTAGAATATTTTAAATAAAGAAATATCAAAGACTAATAGAGTACTATTTATTCAATTTCAATCATATCAAATAATAGTATTTTTAAGAAAATATACTACAGCTATGTAGATAAAACAAACATAGACTTTTAAATTACCTGTTAATGATGGAAGGTTTCCTTCTATCAGAACAAATATCAAAACACCCAGAGAAATCTTCCCAAAAAGAGGAAACATAATCATTTGAGCCAAAATCAAAGAAATAAAAAGAGGGCAAAATCCTTAACTGAGCATACAAAGACTTGAAAATTCCAGTAACAAATTGTTACAGGAGAGGTCCAAGATTTAAAAGTTTGTGTTTGAGAATGGACAACCACTCCAAAATCATTATAAATTAGTGTGAATAAAATGGTGTCTTCTCAGAGTAGCTCTCACTTCTTTTCTGAAATAACCAGCATGCTATGAAAGCAGACGAGATAAGCTAATTAGAACAGATGGGGAGAGACAATTTCTTTATTCTAATCTAGGTAGCTAAGCTCTTTACTAACACTCTCCTTGCCTTTAACAAGTGGTTCATTTACAAACAATTCATGTATAATTCACTGACTTTTCCAACTTTTCTGAATCCACCAGTCAAATTTGATAGATCCATACATACTGAGTTCTCCTAGGATTTAGGATGTGTAAGCATAAAAATGCCCAGACTATCTATACCTACCTGCTTCAATAATACACATAACTATATAAAAAAAACAATCATTAGTTTTTGTCAGAAAGCTATTGTCTTGTAAATTTGCCTTTTTAATATAAAATCTGGAAATCATTCACTGTAACCACAGTCTTCTTCCTTATGCATAAGATGGAAGAGTAACAGTAAAGCAAACTACTGGTAGAGCTGCTGTGATGGATTAAACTAATTAACTAATTTAATCCTCACAACATTGCTTAGAATAGTGCCCAACACACAGTAATCACTTAACATAAATGAGAGCTGTGAAGATATCTTTGTTGATTAATTTGCTATTGAATGTGAGGCTCAGGGTTTTTATCTACATGAAGAACTCTTAAGAAAGGATATCCTCTACTAGGAAGGAATCAAATAAAAATGTATTAGAACAGTTGTTTTTATCATATAAATCTAGTAGAAGTCAATTAAGTTTGTTGAAATTCCTGTGGAAGCTAAGATTTAATATCAAATAACAATTTACATTTTACTTTATGTATCTCTGGGAGTTCTCTGGGGAAAAACACGTTTTGTAATGTCTAGAGAACATTTCTCTTAAAATTCTTTTACTAGCTAAGTCATCTTCAATGTTATTTTATGCATTAGGAAAATAGACTAGTTGATATTTCAATATTTCAAGCATGTTTTTTCAAGATAGTCTCATATTTTCTTCTTTTATAAAGTTCAAAAAATATAAATAACCATTGAACACATGTGCATAATTGACCCTATAAAATATCAGTAAATTTATAAGAAATTTATTTGCCACACTATGTGAGGAGAAAAAAAAAGCTGAAAATTACATTAAGTAAGCACAATTTTAAAGTCTTAAGAAATATTTTTTGTTGACAATTCAGAACAAGAGAAACATTCAGATAACAAGTATTATTAATGGGAAATTATTATTTTTGATGGCCTACTCCAAAAAGCTAAAAAAAAATCTTGAGAATCACAACAATTTGGAAACATTTCTGTGCTTATGTTCAGAAAACCTGGGCTCAAACCCTGGATTTAACACTTAATATTTGATTTTGTCAACCACTTAAGATATTTGAGCTGGTTTTTCCACCCAAAAAATGAGGTATGATGATCTTTGCTTGTGTCATGGGGTTGCTGGTTAAGAACTAAGAAATATGAAGAAAATTCTTGGGAACTAATGCCTGGTATATTCATTGTATTACACGTGTTCATAAAATCTAAAGAGATTTCAAACTTTGCAGTTCTCCTTTGTTTAAGCTCCAGGACAGAAAAGAAAAAAAATTTTTTTCCTTAAATTATATTCCAAGTAGAGAATTTTAGAACTTAAAAAGATCTGTTATATTATCTGCTACAAAACATAATTTATAGTTTCAAAATCTATACCTTTTAAAAAAATAAAAGTAATAAAAAATCTGCAGCCTGTTCATTTGTTTCTAAATAGATTCATCATTTTATAAATTCCATTTAACTTAACATTTTCTGTAATTATAACTTTTAATCATAGCATTCTTAGAATAACTGTATCTATGAAACAGAGTAGTAGGTGAGATTAAACCATGAGATTGCCAAAAGTAAGATTAACTCCAATTGGGAAAACTAGAGGGAATTTATCAGAAAAGATAATGTTTAAGCTGGGGCTTGAATAGACTAGTTGGTATTTCAGTGGGAAGATATGGTTGTGGTTAGTATTAAGAATTGAGTTAGGAAAGAAATTCTTGGTCATGATCAATAGGTGGAAAAGTGTACTGTTAATACAAAAAATTTAAGATACTTGCTGCAGCAGGATAGGAACATATGGCAAATAGATTGAGAATGAAGCTAACTGTGGTAGCTTAAAAGCCTTACCAAGAATTTTGGATTTTCACCTAAAGATGAAACAGATTTTCTCCTGGTATTTAAATGCTCAGAAAAAAAATATTTATTGCATTTACATTTAAGGAAATTCTTTATATGAAATATTTCAAAATCTCATATGAAAGTCTTTAAATCTTGTTATGCATCAAGAAATGTCCCAAGCACACACCTATAATTCCAATGAGGCAGGAAAATTGCCAAGTTCAGAGTCAGCCTCAGCAACTTTTGCTGGCCCTGTCTCAAAGTAAAAAAAGGGGCTGGGAATGTGGTTCAGTGGTTAAGTGCCTCTGGGTTCAGTCTCAGTACCAAAGGGTGAGGGAGTCTCTAAATCACCAACATACCGGAAACTGAACATAAAAACTGCTCCAGAGAGGAGTTCCAAATTGCTTCATCCATACCTAATTCCAAATCTGTTGAGGATCATTTATTGAGTGCTTACTCAATTTTCTAAATAAAGAAAATCAGAATGTTTCCAGTCTTTAAGGAGGTTATAGAACACAAAGACTAATGTGTATAAATAGTGTAATAAAAGAGATGTAATACATATACAAATTATTATGAGGATGCAGGAAAGAATGAATTATTCTGCTTGAACAGATGTGGGAGTGGTGACATTAGAGGTTTTTTTGTTTTTGTTTTTGTTTTTTGATACTGGGATTAAACTCGGGGGCACTCAGCCACTGAGTCATATCCCCAGCCCTATTTTGTATTTTATTTAGAGACAGGGTTTCACTGAGTTGCTAAGCACCTTGTTGTTGCTAAGGCTGGCTTTGAACTCGTAATCCTCCTGTCTCAGCCTCCCTAGCCTCTGGGATTATAGGCTCCACCATGCCCAGCTAGAATTAGTTTTTGAAGGAAAAAAAAAAAAGTTCACAAGAAGTAGTGAAAGGGTGTACTAGGAAAAGGAAATAGCATATGCAAGGCCTACAGGTATAAATACAATGTCACAATACCAATTCCAGAGGACCACCTATGGTTTGGGCTTTAAAATTCACAGTCATGGAACAACAGTCCATAATCCCACTTCATTTTCATTTTGTAGAACACAAAACACTGTCTTTATAGAAGTATGGACTGATTTCTCCAATCCCCAGAAGGGTTGTATTCAGTTTTAACAGAAGAGACCACCCAGGCCACAGCAGCAGAAGCCCAATACACACAGAACCATGTCTTAACAGCCCATGGGAAAACCTCTCAAACTTCCTCAAGAATAAACTCAGTGGACTGGGGCTGTAGCTCAGTGGCAGAGCACCTGTCTAGCACATGTGAGGCACTGGGTTCGATCCTTAGCTCCATATAAAAATAAGTAAAATAAAGGCATTCCATCCATTTACAACTACAAAAAGAATTTCTTAAAAAAGAATAAGCTACAGAGAGAAGTACTTAGAGCATGAATAAATAATTCTGCATAACTAAAAGGTAGAAGACAATAGAAAGATCAGGATAGAACACAGGCTGGAACAAAATAGGATGGGCTCTATATGACAAGCGTAGAACTTTTTTTCTTGACATAAGAAGAAAAAAAAAGCTAATTTAAAGAGGTATTAAGATTTTACAAAGTCCTATTCCAGTGATTAGATATGACTTTAAAAAAGGCATTTTTTGTTTAATCCCAATCTTTGTAAATTAATAGTATAATATTTACAAATGATTTCTCTGGCCACTAACAACCCCTTTCACTACTTTTTATCTCCCCTCATTCACTTTCACCCACACACAGGCATCCATATATACACACACACACTATAAAGCTGAACGACTCCTCCCCAATCCCCACCAAGTTCCCAAAGACACTCCATTGTTCTTACCAGAGAATATTTAAATTATTTGTGTGTCCATAAATTACTCAGGAATAAGAGCATTTCTTTTTCAAAGAGTTTAAAAAGTTTATTTTTTGTGCTTAGCAAAATGTTGKCTAATAGTAGTTACAGGTTGAATATCCCTATTTGAAATGTCTGGGAGCAGAAGTACTTTGAATTTTGGATTTTGGAACATTTGTAGACCCTTGATATATCTTGGGGATGAGACACAAGTCTAAACATAAAATTTATTTTTATTTCATACACATATATGCTGAGGTAATTTTACACAATATTTTTAGTGTACCTGTGGTTTGACTGTGAACCATTACATGAGGTCAGGTGTGGAATTTTCCATTTGTAGCATTACATTGGTATTCGAAAAGCTTTAGATTCTGAAACATCTGGATTTTAGATTTTTGGAACATTTTTCCTATCTGATTAGGGATGCTCAACCTGTACTAAAAAATTTCCCTGAACTGACATTCAAATTAAGTATATACTTGTTAAAGTTGGGAGAAAAATTAATGTAAGCAGCAGTTACATGGTATGCTCAGGACATCATGCATTTAGAAATTTATTTATAACAATGGCTTGTGCTTCTTTAGAAAAAATTACAACTCAATTTAATTAATTGGAAATGTTTAATATAAAATACTGATATCCTCAAAGCATTATTTGCACATGAATTTAGGAAAATTAATTTTAATTTCCAAAACATAATAAAGGACAGTGGTATTTTTAAAAAACATACAAACAAAAAGTTAAGAAATCACACGATGTCTTGTATACTTGCGTCCCCCAAATTAGATGTACAAAACAATTAATAGTCACCTAAAAAAGTCTCTCCCCCACAACACACACATAAATTGGGAATGGAATATGCA